TGCTCATCTTCAAGCAAAGTTTGTCACTCCCAATCCGTGCACGGCAATAAAACGGGCAGAACACTTTGCTGGGTCAAATTTGAAGTTAAGTTTGAAGCTTTAAATTTAAGGGGTTTAGTTGCTTGAGGGAGGCATAATATTATAAACTGTTTTTACATCATGAAAAAAATCCATCCGATTTAAGTGGTGAACTTTTAAGTGGCGTCTTTAAGTGAAATCTACATTTTTCCTTGGGCAATAAACTCTTTGGTCCTCTGCTTTATCCCTGTCACCTCTCCTTGTCACCCCCCATCCCCAATCAACCTTTCTTTTTTTGCCTAGATTTTTTATTGCCTTTTACCCAAGCCCCTCTTTGGAGGAGACATTTGCTGTTGGAGAAGCGAGAGGAGCAAATGAAGCAACACGGTTGTATGAAAGTCCTCTGACCCTTGAACACCGTGGAATTGGTTTCAGTCATCATTGTTTGATCTCCGATTGGACACGACCCTGAAAAGAAATTGCTTTGGCCAAAGTTGAGGGTGGGTGGGAGTTAAACCTTGAAAAGCAAATAGAACGGAAGACAAGTAACAGCTGGAACAGCCACCGAGGCAATCATCTTTGCCCTGGCTTTAGCCAAACAGTATAAAATGGTAAATATTCCAGGGAACAATAAATTGGAACTAGAATGGATTTCTGATGCTTATATTGATGCTCACCCCTCCAAACCCCTGCCCCACGGTAGCAGAAACTTTAAAATATATTTTACCATCCACACCCTGCCAGTATTCCAGCAGTGCAAGCCAAGTTCAACAATTCAGCATGCAAATGCCAAGGTTCCTCTAGAAAAAGAGTCTGATCCTCAGATTAAAGGGAAATCATTTGTGTGTGTGGATCAATGGGCTCCAGATTATATATGAAGCCAAACTCTAATCCTCTGCAAATCGCAAGAGAACGCTACCTTTTTATATTGCTGCATAGTGATTAGTTTTCTCCCTGGGAAGTAGTGGACAGATAGTTTTTTAAAAGGACAACTGTTCGGAATATTTTCAGTACCAAATAACAATGGTGGCAGCAGAAATCTTATTTTAATTAGGCAACTGCCATTTTCCCAGCCACAGCAGTAGATATTTGTTACTTTTTGTAAGTGTTGAATGTTTGTTTTTAAGAAACTAAAAAAGCAATTCCAATAAGTCTGATTATTCCAGCACTGACAGCAGGAACAGCTCTGAGGCAGTTATAATAACCTTGCACACTACTTGAAACTAAAGAAGGTGAGAGAAAATTTAAATTGTACGGTAGGAAATTAGGTCAGCCTTGTGCTCAGTAGAGTAATGCTTTAATTTCTTATTATTGACAAGTAGATGTTGCCGGGGTCTTTTGTCATAGTCGATGATTTTATATTTTAATTTGCATCAGGGTCCTATCACAGCCTCAAATAAAAGGGAAAAGGAGAGATTATCATGCTTTATACAAAGAAGAAGAGGGGAAATCTTCATATAAATACTGCTCAGAGAGGCATATCTGATGCCAGGCTTTGGAACCAGCAGGGCCAAAATCAACATTTTTTAAAGATGTAAAGAGCGTTCTAAGGATTATTTATGAAGCTGATCTCTGTGTTAATGTCCATACAGACTTGTGATCTATGTTGAACATTATTGTTCTCAGAAAGGCCAAACAAAGATGTACCCGTTAACATGTGAACAGGTTTCAGGATTTCCTTTTTGGTTGTTCATGGTATATGGGGGAGAGCATTTCCGATTGGAGAGTGAAATGCAGAAAAGAGACAATTACCAAAAACAGTGCCACCCACCCTTCCACTCCCTCCTCCCTAGCACACCATGTTTTTCTGGATTGTCTGCATATTCCAGGTAAATGTGGACTCTTCTCGTGGAGTTATTGAGAATTCTCTACTGTTTTTGAAGGCAGACACAGAGTAAGAAATGAAGCTGTAAAATCGGTATTGATCACAGACAAAAAAATTGGTTTGTCCTTCAAAATACAAGATAGATACGAGTTATGCAGATTTGTGCTATTTCATCCAGTCCATAGTCATAGTTCCTATCTATTTTGAAGGGTTAAATGTGTCCGAGGAGGGCTCTGGATTCATCACAGGTAGAAAATACTCACACGCTGTGAAGTGAATATTTGGTTCATCATATAGTTACCAAAAAATCTGAAGTTTTTTTCGGCTATGTTGCCAAGCATTTTTAGCATTAAATGATTAAAAGACTATTTTTCTCATGTTAAGGATTAGTCACACCCTTTATTTCTTCTTTCCACTTGTGCTCACTTCTTTTGCTTAGAACTGGTTTGCAATTGAAGTGAAACTAAGACTGTAAAGGTGAAATCTAAATCTGTTTTTCTAGTTCTTTTGCATTGCTTAAAAATAAAAGGTTTGTGTGTTGAAGGTGAAAAAGGTTAGCTTCTGGAATTGTTTCAGGAGTTCATTTATCTTTGCTATTCAAGTCCCACAGAATCACAGATAATTGGGAGAATAGTACGTATCAAGGACTAGTATCTTAACTCACAAATGGGCAATGGAATTAGGGGCTTAGAATTTCTTCCTTCTTCCAGTAAAGGAGATTTTCAGTTTTGCCGAGGACTGATGCATTAAAAAAAATAATTTCTAAAGCCCTTTTCATAATTTTAACCTTCAAAATAAAGTCTTTAAAAAGGTAGGAATGTACGTATGCCAACAGTCACGAGATTTCTTTCGGAGCTGGGGAGCTACATGAAGCCCTCATTCATTCTATGTGGGATTCTCCTGTAAATTGTATGCACTGTTTCCCTTCCCTTTTAGAATTGTGTTTGGTACAAGTTTATTTCTTGACTATGTTCCTCTAATTTGAAGTCCATTCCAGATGGTGGCTTTTCATGGTGGTTCCCTGTCTCTGTCTGATCAGGCTTATCAGCTCAGCTAAATGTTTTTCTGCAGACCTATAGGAGATGCTACGGTCCTTACAAATATCCTGGAGATGGGACATTGTTGTTACACAGTGTGACTAGTAAGGGCCTGTGTGAGCCCTTGTACATGTGGGCACACGTGTGTGCTTCCTCTCTTCTCTCTTCCTTTCTCCCTGGTACTTATATCACGTCTGGATGACCTTTGGAAATAGAGGCGGCCTGAATGCAGGGTGGTCTCAATGGAAGGTAACCTTTCCTTGCTCTGCACTTATGTACGGAATTGGTATACACTCAGTTTCCGAGCTGAGAAATGCCTGAGAACAAGCAACACTTCTTCCATGAAGCTGCAAGCTACAGCCTCCTTGTGCTGTGCGTGTAAAGTACCAGTCCCGCCTACCCCCTTCTCCAGATCATAAACTGATTTGGACATGGAGATTCCTAAAACCCCTTAAAGCATAGAGACCACATCTCTTGCTCCTCTTGCTCTTTAAGACTTGAATGTCACTCTGTTACATTCCCTCAACTGATAAGCCCTTGTTATAGTCCTCAAATGTGAATTGTCTCTGTGGAAAAGTCAAACAGAAACAAACGTATTTGGAAGACAGTGAAACAGCACTTCACAAGTGAACGTTTTCTTGCAAATTGTTTTCAGTAGCCCTCACTGTTCAATCAGTGACTTTTGGTAAATGTCACAGGGATGGTCTTTGAAGTTGTACAATTTGGGTGATTTCCATATGTCTTTAGGAGGTTTATGATTGTATTCCATTTCTCAAACCAATTTAAATGGTTCTTTTCTTGTTTTAAAACATAGACGAGAACATGTAGTGTGTTGGTTTTGCTGTCTACGAAGGGTCTGTCTTCGGCTTGATTGACTTAACTACAGTTGGATCCACATCTATATTGTAATCAGCTAATAACAGATTTGCTTTTAATAGATGACAATTTGAGGGGCACATGATACCAAAAGTGACCACATATTGAGCACCAAACGGTGCTGGTCACTTACCTATATCAACTAATCCTTTAATCCTCTAGTAAGGCGCAGAGCCCTAAAATTCAAAACATACGCTAAGGCCATTTGACATTGTTGTCTGTCCAGACTTTTCTTTCTGTGTGAGACCTCGGTACTTTCTGGTTCTCTTGAAATGCCCCAATTTAAGCGATTTCTTTTTCCTTCCCTCCCTTTCCCCCCAAAAGTTTATGAATAGGCTCTGCATATGAGCAACCAAATATCATTCAAAACTGCATTTTACTGTATCAAAGCCTGCCATGCAATCCCTGAAAACTGGAAATACGATGCTGTGGTGATTTACGTAGATGGGCCAAAGTAAGGAAAAGTATATGTAGTTATTTCTCCAGGGTTTATTCATGTAATTGAATGAGGAACAAAGGTGTTTTGTTCTTTTTGTGGCAGGAGCTGATAGCCAGCAACCACACTTCAAGAAATGGAAGAGAGCTGTGAATGCTTCATTCAGGCCCAAGTAAATATAGGAAGAGGTGTACTGGTGTATAGCGTACTGAGTTTAAAGAAAAAACACTCTGAAAGTAATGGGAAGAAGGAAGTTATGATATATTAGTCAGGCACTGGATATACCTTAAGCTGAAATGAAATACAGGTATCATGGATATGAGATCTGGATATGTAGACGAAAGAGTAATGGGAAAATGTCAGGGGCAGTGAAAGCAAATGAGAAGTGAGATAATTTCTATTTATTGAACTAATGTCCGGTATCTCTTTGACAGAGTTGAGTTATAATCATTTGTCAGTGTCCTTTATGTAGTGTTCCACGTTGGATGGGTGAAGAAATCCTGATAGTCAATTATTGATCACATAACCAGGTCAATTTATCATAACTGAAGCTCAATCGATTTGTGGGTGCAATGAAGAAACATTCTGGAACTGAATAATGTTTATATTGCTTTTCCCTTTGGAAGCAAAGCAGAAAGGGGCCTTTCTGCTTGTAAGATAAACATTTCTTCAATACACTACGGAAGTGCTTTGAAATAAAGATTCCGAATGGTTCAAAAGCAAATCTTCTTGTTGTTGTTGTGTTTTTCCTCTTTTCTCAACTACCCATTGTAAATTCTAAAGTCTTTCTTTATGTTTTGTGTTTTAGCCATGAGACTCAAACAACTTGCTGGGACCATCCCAAAATGACAGAGCTCTACCAGTCTTTAGGTAAGGACGTGGCCATGTTTCCTCCAAGTTAAATGACAGGTGACTTTTAAGATAAAGTGGTTTGTAGTGTGAAAGTTACTTGCTATATAAATACATCACTAGATTGTTTCACGGGTGAAAGCAGTGGCACCTTCCTATCCAAAATGGACAATCAGCTTTCTTTTTTTTCAGGGGTTCCTTAAAAACAAGTTTTAGAAGTTGACTGCTAAAAATTCAATATACCTGAGAGGCCCTAAGGGTCTTTGTCATTTTCTTTGGTGCCTAAAAGGATGGAAAAACAGTTGCAATTTACGACTGTATTTTTTTTTTATTCCCACGAAGATAGAAAACTGTTTCAGGTGCTTATTGATTTCTTCCGTGTGAAACCAGGACAACCCTTTTGCCAAACCACAGATGTTGTGTAAAGGAATTTTCTGCCATCTTTCCAGTGCTCACAATTCCTAAGGCCTGGCGGGTCATTAATGTGAACACTTAAATGATTTCTTTAGTATGGCTTGTTTTGTGTTTATGTAAGAGCCTGGCAGTTATATTTTCTTCCCCCTCATAACTTGGAATTTTTTGAATAGGTACATAGCGTACAAATAAGGGTTTGAAAACACAGTCTTTTTACACTGGACCAATGTCCAGATGTCTGGTTTGTTGTTTTAGATCTACAAGGAATATTCTGAAATGAATTATCTTAAGTTGAAGCTTGTTTGGGGTTTTGTTTTGTTTTGGGACGGGGTCTTGCTCTGTCTCCCAGGCTGGAGTGCGGTGGTGCAGTTATAGCTTATTGCAGCCTCGAACCCCTGGGCTCATGTGGTTCTTCTGCCTCAGCCTCCTGAGTAGCTGGGACTACAGGAATGCACCACCACACCCAGCTCATTTTTTAAATTTATTTTTATTTATTTTTGTAGAGATGGGTCTCACTGTGTTGCCCAGGTTGTGTTTATATATATATATTTGTATATGTAAAAAGTCATGTCTTTTCTACTTTTTCAAGCCTGCATTTCTGTGAATGGATATGTTGATAGACAAACACATAAGGCGATCTCTTTGGATTTAAGGTTGCGTGATAAACACTGTGGGAATCAGGGTACTTAAACATAAATTCTGTGTAGGTGTATGTAAGTGGGGGGTGTGTGTCAGGGGGTATGTAGCTATTACTGCTTTTGTGTCATGGATTCTCACGGAATGAATTGTAGCTATAGAGACACCAAGGATTAGAGAAGAGATATTAGCCAAAAAATGGTTTTATTAAGCATTTTTCTAATTATAAATGATTAAATTTCTTCTAGAAAACCTGAAAAATGTAAATAAAAAACATGAAAAAGGAAAAACAAAGTCACTTATACTAACCAGAGAGAGAGATCCAATACATTTCGAGTAATATTATGTCATTTCAGTCTAGTTATAAGTGTGTAAACGTTTAAAAGTTTTAATCAAATTGGGATCAGCTAATTTTCTAGTGCTACATTTCCAGCCCCCACAGAATGTTTTTGGCTTATAATTGTGGACTGTTTATACCACAGGTGGAAAACGTGAATGCTTATCTTTTGGCAAATGAGAGAATGAAAAGGCTTCATCTGAAGTGGGCAGCAGCTGTCCTGGGCAAGCTGGTCTTTCTATCCCAGTACTCCCAGGACCCCAGGACCCCTGATTGTACAAGAGAAACTAGAAATGCGTCCACAAAAAGCTAATTTAAATTTGTCTGTGGGCCTCTTGATCATAACCTGTGGTTTACACAGATGTAGCCCACTTCTAACATTTCCTACTCTATTTACAGTAATTTCTAGTTGTAATATTTTAATTCACTCTTATTTTAAAATCATTATTATTATATAATTAATACCTATTCATTTTTTTAAGTTTAAAAATATAGACAGGCTAACAAAAAAGAAGAGACAAATCATAACCCCACTTCTTAGAGTTAGCTGCTGTTTAATAATCTAGTAGATATCTTCAAAAATGTCTTTCTATACATATATTTTTATAGAAGTTGAATCATTCTGTCTTATAGCTTGTTTTTTTTTTTTCACTGAAAAGTAATATATTACCATGGCCATATTTACATTTTGTTGTATAGCATTCTCTACCACTTTCAATTACTCTGTAATGAGAAATTGCAAACATGTTTGATGAAAAGCTAACTATGGACTATCAATGAATACATGTTTGCACCTTTAATACAAATTAAATATACATTTAATCATTATATTGCTAACATTTTCTCTGTAGTTTAGATGTGGTGATAAACTCAAAACTAGTAATCTCTCATGACTTGTGACATTGGGCTTGTGACATCACTCAATTTTGAATGATAACAGAATTTTACAGTTGCAGGGGATTTTAGAATTCATTTATTGCAAACTTTTTCTTTTATGAAATCAACTTTCAGGTATAATTTGTATATAATAAAAGGAAGGCATCGTAAGTGTGTTATCAATTCCAGCCCCCTTTGAAATTCTGTTTCTTACTAGCCCAATAACAAACCATTTGCAAGTGAACTAAGTGTTGAAATTTGCTTTTCACCTTTCAGAGTTAATATTTCCATTAGTTTTGTAACAATCAAACATTCGTTGGGCTTTTATCCAAATGGTGAGTCATCAAATAACATCTCGCATTTATTGCAGGCCTATTGTATGTTTTCTACATGGGACATGCCAGCAACCAACCTGCATGGTAGATAGTATCAACATCCACATTTCACAGGACAGCGCAGCCAGGCTCAGGGAGGAGTTGATCAGGGCTACACAGCTATGTGGGGCTACACCTGGGTTTGTCCTTGGTTTTCTGTTAGTACTTTCACTGTTCTCATTGATTTTATTTACTAGGTAAAGTATATTCATGTTGGTTACTACATACCTGCTACACGTATATAGGGATTGATAGTTTTACCTATGAATAGTAAGTTACTTGAGTGGTATTTCTGGAAGTGGTATGGTGGGTTCCTAAACAATGGGCACTCCTTTCACTGTTGCCTGGCACACACAGAATGATTGATTTAGTTTGTTATATGGCTACATCCTTTTTTTTTTTTTTTTTTTTTTTTTTTGAGACAGAATCTCACTCTGTCACCCAGGCTGGAATGCAGTGGCACGATCTTGGCTCACGGCAACCCCCACGTCCCCAGGATCAGGTGATTCTCCTGCTTCAGCCTCCCGAGTAGCTGGGATTACTAGGTGCCTGCCACCATGCCCAACTAATTTTTGTATTTTTACTAGGGACGGGGTTTTGCCATGTTGGCCAGGCTGCTCTCGACCTCCTGACCTCAGGTGATCCGCCCACCTTGGCCTCCCAAATTGTTAGGATTACAGGTGTAAGCCACCGCGCCCAGCCTGCCTGTATCCTTGAGATCCCATATAAGATGAACTACCAGTACTGCCTTTCCTCCTCTCCAGAATTAGAGTGTTTCAAAGTCGAAACACAAGCATAAAATACTGAAAAGAAACTTTTTATTGCTTTTTAGTTTTTACTTATTAGCTTATATTTTTCTTCATCAAGAGGTATCCCTTTAGGTCCAAATTGCTCTTTGAGCTGGATGAAATGGTTGGAAGCCTTCAACTACAGTCAGTTCATGAAAGCTATCTTGAAAGCAGAAATGGTGTTGTGGTCTGGCATGTCAATGTTTAAGACCACATCTAGCCCCCTCTGCTAATCGAACCTGAACCTTATGTCTCTTGTGAGGTGCTGAAAATATCAAGATGTTGCTTTTTCCCTCTGTTCCCCCACTCCAGACATACTCTACTGTGGAAGCTACAGTGGTTCACAGTATGCATAGTAGGTTACACATTCCTAAAGACGCCCACTTCTAAGGAGATTTCCATTCTCTAATTTGCCAGAGTTCCCAAGCAGCCTGTTCAACATATGTTTATGTTACCTGCCTGGCCCTCAAAAGCATTCAGGTTTTCCCCCGCACCCAGGGTTTGAACACAATAGGATTAGAAGCTGAAAACATTTTGTTAGAACCGAAAAAGTAGCAAGTATTTACTGATGAAAAGCTATAATATCGCTTGAGATATTACCATTGGAGCTCTCTAATACATTCTAGGTGGTTTTCTTTTTCATTCCTTTTCCACTGATTTTCTAAAATGAATTTATATTATTTACAGTTAGATGTTTGGTAAAAAAGTTTCTTCGTGAATACCCCCTATTCCATTTCTTACTTAGTGTCTCTATAGCTACAGTTCATTAACCAATGAGAACTTATGACAGAAAAGCAACAGTAGCCCCCCGCCCCCACACACACACACCCCACATATATGTAGATAATTTATGCTTAAGGACCCTGATTCTCATGAACTTTGTCAGGTAACCTTAAACTCAAGGAGATCATCTCATGTATTTTTCGTCTGTATGTCCAGTCGTGAAAAATGCAGATGCAGACATTTTAGTGGTAGAGAAAATAGAACTTTTTTGATTAAAAAATAAATAAAAATGTAAGATAATTAATTTGAGATTATTTCCAACAGATCTAAAATGGCTTTTCAGAGGAGGTTTCAGTCAAGTCTTAGAAATACTGTGTTCCCCTCATTTTTAGGCTGTGTACCTACACAAAAAATTGAGAGAAAATATTGCCAGAGTCCTACACAAACAAAGCAAGACATAGCAAAGAAATAATTTAAAGGTTCACTATGATGACTGAACAGTCATTAGGAATTTGAGTCTCCATAAAATTTTTTACATCGCATTAATGGTTTGACAAAAGCATTGTCTTGGATTTTCACAGGGAATAAATCACTAAAAGCAACTGGAAATCAGTTTTCTTTCAGCATTTTTCTGTGACTACCCCCAGAAGTCATAGAATGGTAGTAGAGAATGCTAGTGGAGTGAGTGGGATATAAGAGACCAAGTGTCCTGTGTCTACTTTTTGTAGGCCTTGGTGCTTTATCTTTAAAATGTGAGGATATTGGGGCTGGGCACAGTGGCTCACTCTTGTAATCCCAGCATTTTGGGAGGTCGAGGCTGGCGGATCACCTGAGGTCGGAAGATCAAGACCATCCTGGCTAACACAGTGAAAC